GTGTTCTGGGCCAGATCCTCCCCACCCAGCTGCAATTCACCAAACAGTGTTTTAAAGTTTCTTTCATTCCATAGCTTGGGCACTCATCCCCTCTTCTTTTACTTCTTTTCCTAATCTTGACACCAACTGGGACTATATTATGAGCCACCTTCCATAAAAAGACTTTAATCTTCCCAGGGACATTCAGTTTCCATAGTTTATTCCAACCGGCATTCGACTCTTGTTCATCAATACTCCCTGCCTGCTCCTCCCCAATTCTGTTCAACTCCATATCATATCCAGACCTAACAGTGTATTTCCCATTCTCCGTACCAGTCCAGCATAAGGAATCCCTTTCCAGCACAGGAGAAAGAGGGATATCCAAAATTGCTTGCTGTTCAGCCTGAGTGAACATAATTTCAATCAGATCTCTTCTCCAGGTTCTTGTTTCTTGGTCAATGAGGCAGGAGACTTTTGAGTCCCAATCCAGAAAAGGACTATAAGAAAACACCTGATAATCCTCAAGCCCTGGCACCCATCTATCTCTCCATATATGGACCTCTTCCCCCGTACCAATCCTCCATCTGCAACCTGATTTTAACAATTCTTGAGCTCCCATTAAGCTCCTCCAAACATAGCTCGGCCTCCAACCCACTTTTGCTTCAAGAATGTTGCATTTAGGGTGATATTTAGCCTTCAACAATCTAGCAACTAGTGATTGAGGATTGAGGTTCAGATTCCAGAGTTGCTTTGCCAGAATTGCAGTGTTAAACACTCTCAGATTCTTGAATCCCATTCCACCTTGATTCTTCTTCTTACACAGCTTCTCCCAACGTTTCCAGTGAATCCTTCTTTCATTCCCTTTCTGTCCCCACCAGAAGTTAGCTATCAAGCTATGTATATCATCCAAAATTCCATCAGGGATCCTAAACACAGACATGGCGTAGGTCGTTTGAGCCTGGGCAATACTTTTGATCAAAATTTCCTTCCCTGCTTCTGAAAAGTATCTGTTTTTCCAGTTCATCAGTTTGTTTCTAACTCTGTCCCTGAGATTACTGAATACCAACTTCTTTGATCTTCCCACCATAGTAGGTAGACCAAGGTACTTTGCAAGTTTATCAACTTCCTTTATCTTTAGCTCTTGGCATATCTCCTGTCTTCTATTGTTCAACGTGTTCTTGCTGAAATATATTTCTGACTTGTCCAGATTTACCATTTGACCAGATTCCTTTTCATAATCTTCAAGCAATTCTTTCAGCTTCTTAGTCTCTTCCACCGTGGCTCTAGCAAAGATAATGCAGTCATCAGCAAACAGCAAGTGAGAGACCACTGGAGCCCTGTTACAAATTTTTAGACCGTGGATTTTCTTCTCCTTACCGCTTTTGTTGATCAGGGCTGAAAGTCCTTCAACACAAAGCAAAAATAAATACGGGGAGAGGGGATCTCCTTGTCTCAGACCCCTACCAGGATTAAAGAAGTTCGATTTATGGCCATTAACCAACACTGCATAAGACACAGAAGAAACACAGTTCATAATAAGCTTGATCCACTTCTCATCAAATCCCAATTTGACCATAACTCTTTCAAGAAAAATCCATTCTACTCGGTCGTAGGCCTTGGCCATATCCAATTTGAGAGCAAGTAAACCTTTATCACCTTTGTTTTTATTCTTCATGGTTGAGAAGCATTCAAATGCAGCTATCACATTGTCAGTGATCGATCTCCCCGGGACAAAAGCACTCTGTGCTTCACAAATGAGATCATTCAGCACTCCTTTCAGCCGATTTGCAATTGTTTTAGATAAGACCTTATACAGTACAGAGCATAAACTTATTGGTCTATATTCTTTGGGGGAGATAGGATTTTTTACCTTTGGAATCAGAGCAATAAGAGTCATGTTAAGCTCCATAGGCAGACTGCCTTCATTGAGAAACCCCGTCAGTTCTGCAGTTACTTTTGGTGCAATGGTGCACCAATTTTTTTGGAAGAATAAGGCAGGGAAACCATCATCTCCAGGTGCTTTGGTAGCGCCCATTTGAAATAAAGCAGCCTGAATTTCTTCAGCCGTGAAAGGCCTAAGCAGTTTCTGATTCATCTCTTCGGTAACCTTCTTCTCAATAGCATCAATAACCTTCCAGCAATTCTGATCCGCTCTACTTTCAAACAGCTTAGAGTAATACTGGAATAAGCATCCAGTCACCTCTCCTTGACCCTTATGGATTCTGCCCTGCTCATCTTGGATTTTTTTAATGGTATTTTTCTTTCTTCTTTCATAAGTTTATTTATCGTTTACGAGAATGAGACAAGGAGAATTAAAATAGCAAAGCATACTGGATTGTGAGATAAACACCATAATTAACTAGACTAAGCAAGGTGTTACACAATAGCATCAAGACAATATCATTTTTCACATTGCAATATTTAATTCAATTCAAACCAAACATCGACCGTTCATGAAGAACGACTCCATACTCCAAGAAACCGACCCTAGTGTCCACTCCTGCTAATAATTAATTAATCAAACTATTCTCCGGCCATCTCCCACATTTGTGAATTATAATGTTAGGCAACGAGTAAAGACAGGACGATGAAAACAGATTAACAGAGGCAAGAGGATCGAGTTGATTTATATTTTAGTTCACTTCTAATTTGGATATCAGATGTATCTGGCAACGATGTTAAGAGGAGCTGGGCGTGAATGACGAGACGACTAATAATGAACATAAATGTTGGCATGTTGAATGTCATAAATTTTCTCTTCTTTTACGAGAATGAGGCGACAAAATGGTTTTTTTAGTGCTAGACAACAAGAATTAAAATAGCTAAGTCCACTGAATTGTGAGATAAACACTGGAATTAACTGGACTAAACAAGGCGTTAGGCAGCTAGCATAAAGATAATTTAATTTTTTTTCAATATGAAAGATTTAATTTCAGTCCAAACCAAATATCGACTATTCACGAAGGATGACTTTACAGTACAAGAAACCTACCCAATTCCCACTCCTTCCAATTATTAATTAATTACACTATCCTCCAACCATCTTCCACTGCTACGAAGAAGTCGAGTTTCCAATAAGACTAAAAGTTTGATATCGGTATTTGAGATATATCTAACAGTGTATTGAATTTATCATTATTTGGTATTATCAAATGGCGAATACTGAGTTGTTTTGAGGGACAGGGATTGATATTTTAATATTGAAGTGTTATTCAATATTTGAGATTGTGGGTATAGGATGGGAATCTTTGTATACAGAAATATCAATAAATACCAAACATTTTAAAAATAATTAAATATAGTCCACAACGTCTAGTTATTCTCACACTTTGACAACTAACAATCTCTATTCTCTACTCAATCCAAGCTTAGCTTCTAAGTTTACCAAGATCACTCTCGTCTCTCTCGATCTCTTGTTATTTTCAGGGGGAAAAATTAAACACTTTCATTAGTCTTTTCTCACCCTTAAATCCATCGTATCAAACATTGCAAAGGAAAAAGTTCAGATATTGTCATCTCATCTCTTCTCCTTGTCCCTGCCTTAACTTAAGGTAGACTCAATATCCTCTGCTTAGTCTCGTAGCCTCTATTGGAAACATGTGATGAATCCATTCAATAGAGACTTCGATTGAAATCTTTTCAATGGAGACTTTTGATTAGTTTTTATCAGAATTTTCCCAACTCAAATTTCATTATTGAGGTTTTCAATCATGGGATTGAACTTACAAGTAGGCACTATATAAAAATGTTGAGGATTATAAGCATTCAAACCATTATTTATGTAAACATTGAATTATTAGTCGCCAAAATAATTACTTTAGTATTGAGTAATACCGATACGGTACCAAATATTATAAAATTGAGACTAAAATACTGAATTTATTTTGGCATCAGAATCGAAATTGTTTTAGAATACTATTTAATACATGATATTTCAATGAGGAATTTTACAATGCTATATAGCATTGGTGCTATAGGTTTTTGCTTTTATGGTACAATTGGAAATTGTACCTTTAACGTTATGGTACAACTTCAGATTGTACTTATACTTTTTGTACAAATTCTTTTATGATACAACTTAAACTTGTACTTTATGTGATGGTACAACTTCGTGTTGTAAAGTTGTCCCATAACATAATGATACAAATTATTTTATGGTACAACCTAAACTTATACATTTAATGTTATGGTACAACTTCAAGTTGTACATTAAAACACAAATGCTATAGCACAGTAGAAGTGCACTTATATCTAGGGGTGAACAAACACACCCGCAAACCGAACCACCCGTCCAACCCGACCCAACCCACCCGTATTTATCGCTAAAACGAAGATTTTGGGTTAGGTGAGGATTTTCTTTTGTACAACCCGCCTCTTTTGGGTTGGGTTTGGATTTTGGATTACACAACCCGTAGAACCCGACCCAACCCGTGTTCCAACTATTAGTATGAGTTCCTATATTATGAGAAAATTAAAATATTTCGCCTTGTTTTTCTATCATGGTCTCCCTAATTTAATGCATTCTTCGACTTAAAATTTTGACATAAATTGAATATAGTTATGATTCACGTAATCCTATTTCTTGTGTACAATTTTAATAGAATAATATATTATGGATGCGTTTGTTTATAACCTTTTTAGCCTATTTCAACAAATATCGTGAAAAAAACTAGACATATGTTGAAGTAAATCACATTTTATTAAAATTCAAATAACATTTGTGAATTTTGATACCTTTCACCTCGGTTTATTCGTTTGGAATTTTAATTAGTTATAAAATATTTTTATGATGTATAATAATTATATATTTTATGTTGGGTTGGATTTTTACTTAAAAATATCGCCAACCCGACCTAACCCAATTAGAAACAAACGGTAGGGTTTAATTTTTTTTAGGTGGGTTTGGGTTTGATAATTCCCAAACCGTAGTGTATGAATCGGGTGATTAAAATGGTTAAACCAGAACCAACCGACCCATATACACCCCTACTTATATCAATATTTAGCACCGGGCCGATACTCTATGGATTTCTAGCTTAATTTGCAGCCACAAAGCATCCGCCCGCAACTCGGAACCCGCCACGTGTCAATTCTCTTCCTAGATCCTCGAGAATCCCATTCTGCTGCGCTTCCCCTCTCCACCTTCCCAACTTCCAGCCGAAGGTAGTCGCCGGAGGAATCTCCCCATTCTTGCTCCCTCCCTCCTTTCCTTCCCCACTTTCCCCCCATCCATCTCTCTCCCTCCGGCCAGCCACGACGGAGGCGGCCGCCGGTGAACCGCAAAACCGACCCTGCACCCACTTGGAGCAATTAAATTAAACTCCACGAAAGCAAACCCTTTTGCGTTAATTATCTGGTTTCAGTTTACTCCAATTCCCAATAATGGATAATCCAATCCCGGAATCGAATAATGCCTTTGCGCTCCCTTTATCCTCTCCCCCAACCCCAAATTCCTCCTACGACTACAAGCTTTTATTAGATTAGATGTCTCGTGGCTTCCCGCCGATTCCCAACCCTTGCTGCTGCTGTTCATTCGTCCCCGCCCCTTCTTCTTCTTCTGCTCCTTTTTGTTGTCCCACAAGTTCCCTGGCATCGGATTCGCTGCTGATACTGTCATCCCCCAATCGCCATCCCGCCTCTGCCTCTGGAACATGTCTATTTAACTCCACCATGCGCTTCCCCAGGAACCCGGCCGTTGCCTTTTGCCTCTCCATCTTCTTCTCTCCCAACCTCTCTCGCCCTGCTTCTCCCTTCTTGTCCTCCTCACGGAGCGCCTGCACCAGCCGCCGATACTCTCTCGGGAAGAAGAAATCGTTTCACTCCTCAGGTCAGCTTGCTTCCCTTTTCTGTCCTCTCCTTCACAGTTTCTCCTCCGCCCATTAGCCCCGTTTTGAATTCTGGAAGCTCTCTTCTCGAAATTTGGTTGCTTAGGGGGGCAATTGGTTAATTTCCTGGTGGGTTAGTTTTGGAAGGAAGGCTGTGTGTGAATGAATGAAATTTTGATTGAGGGGAATTGATTTTTAGGTGTTACTACTTGGAGCGTGTTCTTGGAAGGTATCTTAAGAGTTGGAACATAAATCCTGCTGCAACTTTCACTGTGTTTGCTCTCTTTTGATTGACATTTGCAGGTAAGCTGGTTTTTATACATATTGTTTGTTTCCACTTTCCTCCCCCTCTTTCCCCCTGGGGTAATCTTCAATTTGATACTGGTAGATAAAGCGGTTGGTTTCATTGCTGAAATTAATCGAACTGTAGATGAAGGCATGAAGCATGTATAGCTTATATGTAGAATGGTCAACTTGACAACTGATAGAAATTTCAACTCAAATAAGTTGCGTGAAGCAGGGGACTTCCTGTTCAAATAAGTTTTGGAAGCTACGTGGACTGTTAGTTTGATGTTGTAAAGTCTAAAGCTTGAACCTTTTGTGACATTACTTCAAACATGTCAGGGGCTATTCTACCACACGCTAGCTACACCATGGATGAGGTTCACAGGACTGTTGAAGGCAATGATGGAACGTCAAAAGAACCACATATATGGGCCTCGCCTGAAGGAGGTCGTGATATTGAAATTGCAAAGCAGATCTTTTGCAACCGATCATTGAATATGAGGAACATCGTGGCTGTTGGTTTTGATATGGATTACACATTGGCACAATACAAACCCGAAACCTTTGAGTCGCTTGCATATGAAGGCACTATCAGAAAGTTGGTATATGATCTTGGTTATCCTCCAGAGGTTTGTTTATTATTCCAACGTTTCTTCTCTTAATGAAATTGGGTTGCAGCTTTAATAGTATGATGATGGTTTTTAATGTATTGCTTGTCTGTTCACAGCTGCTGCATTGGACGTTTGATTGGACTTACATGGTTAGAGGCTTGGTTCTTGATAAGAAAAGAGGGAACATCTTAAAAGTGAGTTTCAAAATTGACTTAGCTCCTGGATGGTTTTTATTTCAGGCAGGCTATTGAAAAACTTTATGCCTTTTTCAGATGGATCGCCACAAGTATGTGAAAGTGGCTTACCATGGCTTTCGAGAGATGTCCAAGGAAGAAAAAGTTGGCACTTATGGGAGTACTTTGATACGAGATTCTTTCGATGAACCAGATTATGCTCTCATTGATACTCTATTTTCATTAGCTGAAGCCTACTTGTTTGCTCAGCTTGTGGACTTTAAGGACAAGAATCCCGGAAAAGTTCCTCAAGGAGCTGAGTAAGTGTGCAAACTTGCACGCACACACACAATGACATGCTTATATTTTTCATTCACTACTCTGGCAACGTAAATCTGTGCTTCTCTGCTTGTTAAGATATTATTAGTACTGCTAATACTTCAAGTGTTACTATATCATAGATGTTGCTCGTTGGAAGTCCTCTTGCTGGTCTCTAGTTTATCTAGTACTGAAGCTTCTTCTTTGTTGTTCATTGGGCTGCAACCAAATTTTCAGTTATGCTCGTATGTATAAAGATGTTCGAGCTGCCGTTGATTTGTGTCATCGTGATGGAACTTTGAAGCAAATGGTTGCCGAAGATCCAAAGAGGTAAGATCCCGAGTTTACTTGAGAACTGTGTGAGTGTTTAGGAATTCTGAATTGTGGTTTAAGCTGGACCACCAGGATTAGAATTAAAAGTTTGGCGTTTCTGCTTCGAGAATGTATCTATCAGTTGTCACTAAGACCGAACACTTGCCTGTATGGCAGAATAGAATTCAGTGGTTCTCAATGTAACTCTTTTCTTTCCAATTATTCTGCCAATCAGATACATTAATGAGGACACATCTATAGTTCCAATGCTCAAGATGCTTAGAGATTCTGGACGTGCTACATTCTTGGTGACAAATAGGTGTGTATATTCTTTCCCTTTTCCTTTGCTACATATTACTAAATGCAGTTGCTCTTGTCACTCGAGTTATAGTGGCTTGACTTCTTGGCCACAGCATTGCTTTGTATGTGTAATCCATGATGCCATATTTTAGTAGTTTCTTAATGGGACTGTTGTTTCGTCTTATGCAGCTTATGGGACTATACAAATATCGTGATGAATTTTCTTTGTGGAGGTCGTACAATGCATGGTAGTGACCCTTGCAATTTTGAATGGCTAAAGTACTTCGATGTTGTTGTCACTGGCAGGTAACACTGCCTTTACAAATTTGGATTTTTTTTTTGGCTGATTTTTCTTGGAAATGTACATAATTTGTTCTTCTGAATGAACTGGAATCCAGTGCAAAACCTGGGTTTTTCCATGAAGATAATCGTGCTGGTCTGTTTGAGGTTGAACCTGAAAGTGGGATGCTACTGAACACTGATAATGGAACTCCTATGCCGCAGGTTAGTGAATTAGCTTCATGTCATTGTGATTTTGGTTTTCCCTAGAGGAACCTGAACTTTTGTTTATTATTGTTGAAGGTGGGGAACACAGTGCCAAAGATTGTACTGAAAAAGGAGCTAAGTAAACCATGCAGAGTCTTCCAGGTACCCTTAAGGAAACCAGGTTCACTTTTTATTTATTTATTTATTTATGAAACTGATTTGGGTTTACCAAGTTGGCATTTACTTAATAAAGACTGTTGTTTTCAAATAGAAATACTCATCCTAGTACTGATGCAGGGAGGAAGTGTTGGTCATCTTCACAAGTTGCTATCAATTGAGTCAAGCTCTCAGGTAATCGTTTAATACTGTTGTATACCAGGTTCTCGTTTATATCTGACATTTATTTATTTTAGTAGGTTCTTTATGTTGGTGACCATATTTATGGAGATATTCTACGCAGCAAAAAAGTTTTAGGTATGCTGTTCTCATTATCTTATGGATTCTGAATGGAATGTTTATGCCCAAAACATGTGCAAAATTAGGGGTCTGTTCAAAATTAGAATTATGTTTCAACACTTACTCCACTAACCAACCCCCTGACTGAAATATGATTTTATCAAGTGTTTACTTGTTCATGTGTGCTTGCAAACAGGTTGGAGAACAATGCTTGTTGTTCCCGAACTTGAGAGGGAGGTTGAACTTCTTTGGCAATTAAGGGATACACGCAGGGTAAATTCTCACTTCTTTACTAATAAACGTTGCTGAATTGTAATGTCTCAGTTTTCCTCCCTCATGCGATTTTTCAATTGCAGCAACTTAGGTTGTTAAGGAATGAACGTGATCATATTGAAGATGAAGTTCATCACTTAAAATGGTCTCTCAAGTAAGTACAGCCTTTCGGCAAAGGGACAGCAGTGTTATAGTGAGATAGTTCTACCTCTCATCCTTTTGAATATGTTTTTGTCCTGCAGGTTTGAGAACCTAAATGCTGATAGGAAGAAGAAGCTATGCGGTACTCTTGATCAACTGGAGGTAAGCCCGTAGTTTCGTAACAGCACTACGTTCTGCAAAGATGTTTCTTGCCTTCTTTCTATTGCTTTGCTTCATCTAAGTTGTTTTTCTTCAAATAAACAGGCTGAAAGAGATAAAGTGAGAATCACTCACCAACAGGCTCAACGGGAGTGTCACCAAAAGGTGAAAGTTACTCAGATCTTCATGTATAGGATTCATGTGATTGAGATGATTAGCTTCCTTACATCTATCTCCTTGTTTAACCTTCTCCTCCCCAGTTCCACAAAGTATGGGGACAACTTATGAAGACCGGGTATCAGAACTCTCGGTTCGCCCACCAGGTAAACATACCAATTCTGCCTTTATAGTTTACTCTCAGGATCTGAAAACCTATCCCATGGAGGTGGACCAAAATTTCTGCAACACTGATGAAGCAGCTCCATCTCGTTCTTAAACTTGTATCTGTTATGCTGCAGGTTGAGAGATTTGCTTGCCTGTACACTAGCCAAGTATCGAATATAAGCTTGTACTCGCCGGATAAGTACTACCGACCCAGCGAAGACTTCATGCCCCACGAGTTTGGTATTCTTCCACTCTGAATGCTTAAGGAGAGCATTGCAGGGAAAGAAAGAAAGGCTTCTTTTAAGGTTTTAGGTTCTTGAAAAGGGTTAATAATTTGAACACAAGGGGTTCGTTTTGTTTCCTTCTGTTTCTTTTGACAATGCTCCCACCCTGTCTAGTTTGATTCAATGTCAGAAGGTTCCTTCTTTTGTCTCACGTCAACTCGAGACTTTGCTTTTTATGAATGTTATAATTAGAAGCGCACAGGCCATCAATCTGATTGCTCGTAGTCATTATTGTGTGCTTGCTTGCTTGCACAAGGCAAAAGGCTTCTGAGTTCTGTCTCGTATTAAACAATCATATTTTTCTCTACTTAGGGTGGGAAAGTGGTTGCGGTTTTGAGGTTAAACCATAGACAAGGAAACCGGATCGTACCGGCCGGTTCAACCAAAAATTGGACCAAAAGCGGTACGGTAGGCTGATTGTGCTGATTTTACCGTACCGGCCGGTTTTTTCGGTTTGACCGGTACAAAAAAATCGCCCGGTTTTGGTTTAACCGGCGGTAGCCTTATTGAAAGAATAGGTCCCCGTTTTAAGCACTAAAATTTTTTTAAAAAAAAAATCGGCATTCAACAGCGCAAAAACACAAAACCTAATCCAAAATGTATTTTCCTTCTTCCCGTGTTCCCCATCCCCGCCGCTCCTCTTCTCCACTCCCTCTGGTGACTGGCGGCCCGCGCATCGGTGCGAGGAAAGAAGCAACCCGCGACGGCGAAAGGTCGAGCCGATCCCCGCTCCGCTCCTCCGTCGTTCCTCTTCTCTTCTTATTTGGCGACCCACGACCGGCGAGTCGAGTCGTCCCTGCTCCGCTCCGCCGCTCCTTCCTCTCCTCCTCAGCCGCTCCGACCGTGCTCGAGTCTCCCAAAGCCAGCGATAGTCAATTAATTATTAGTATAATAAAGCCGCGAGTATACTTAAGGGGACAGCAAAGAATAAGATTGACAAGTTTTCAAAAGCAGAGATGGCAGAAAATCGATATTCACTTAGCTCTGCAATTGGGCTTGAAACCCTTCTCTGATGCCCCAAAATTACACATGCAAAGAAGAAAAAACTAGAACTGATCTTTGTGAATATCGATTTTTGAAATAGCTTCCGTTGATCATTTGACCGAGACTAATAGCTAAGTGAAAGGGGAATACTCGGAATTTTGGCTGGAAGTGGCGAGAGGCTTATTCCCTCTGCTCCATTCACCTTATTCTTCTTCTGGGTATGTAATGCAAGAGCGGGTAGGTGGGGTTATTAGACTGATAGAGAGCAGGCAAATGAGCTGGAGTCAAGAAATACAAGGGAAGTCAAGAGGTTGAGGTGTATTTCTTGCATGTAACTAAGATGCCACGTGTATAACCAAAAAAAAATTGTGCATACTACCTACTAAGTGAACTTGCTTTTTGTTACTCAATATTCAACTTATTCTTTTAATTTTTCTCATCTTGACATAAGCACCATCGATATATTTTTTTTGGATGAAATGATGAATGAATTTTTTATGGTAATTTAACGATTGGCTAATAATTTGATGACTGTCACGATGCTGACATGGCCTTCTACGTTAAAAATTTGAAAACAGTACGGACTGTTAGCCAAATCTTGACCCACAACAATAGTTATGGCTAATAATTTGTATTTCAATAGTTGTGGCTATAATTCCCCGCTACTTAATAGTTATGGATAATATATTGTATTTACCCTTTTTTTTTACAAGAAATGATGAATGAATTTAGTTTGTGTTGATGCCATAGAACTTTGTACCTCCTTTCCAAGTTAGCTAAAAAAAATTATGCTTACCTCATTAATTAATGAGATTTTGATATTTACTATAAAAGTTATTCCAAAATATTTCCCGAGCAAAGCGCGGGCCAATTAACTAGTCTGATTAATTAGGTAAGGAATGACTATTGCTCTATGTTGAAAATGGGTCTCCGTGGTTGTATAATGCTCTATTTGGTTCTTGGTTGGTCCTGAATGAGATGAATTACATCTCTCTAATCTGTTCCTCTTTTTGGTGGCAATATTTGGTGAAGGCAGAAATATGGTTTTTTTGAACGATAATGTAGTTTATTCAGTATGTTACACTTTGTTGATTGTTACAGTATGTACCTCTTTTGATACTTTATTATTTTATATCCGGTATATTCGATATTATTCCGGTTTTACTCCGGAACGGTACTCTGATTTTGCCGACACGGTTTTTTGACAAAAAATATATTTTATTATTACAAAAACGGTATTTACCGGTACAAAACGGTTGAACCACGGTCGTACCACAAAATACCATACCAGAAAGGAATCCGGTATGATGTTCGGTACGGTTTCCTACTTTCCTTTACCATGGGTTAAACCGAATCGCATTGAATAAATGTGGTTTGTGGTTAATCGGGGATGGGATTAGGTGCTAACCCCTGGGTTAGCACCGTGATAACTAGCAAAAAACGCTACTAAAAACAACGAAATCACTATGGATTATTATAAAATCAATACAACATCTAAATTACTACTAACTCTTGGTTAGGACGGTGCTAACTCTTCTACAATTAGCACCGTAACCACTTCCGGTTAATCGCTAATTGTTTAAATGAAGTCTTATTAGATCATGGTTAGTAGTGTAGGTCGCTTTGTGATTTGTGGAATGACTGCTAACCGCACCGAAGCAAGACTACTGAATAACTAATCCATGTTACAATAAACTATTGAATTTTGGCACGATGCATTGAGAAATGCTTCATGCTGGTGGTCCAACCACCATTGGTCCACTTTTAGCGTGAGTCTAATTCCGACCACTCTATTTTCCCATTTGGGAGATAGCCGGATGGGAGCTGTTCTAGAAGAAGTTATTTTGTTTTTTGCTTCTCATCCGGGGTTTTCGATTAGATTTGTAGGTCGGAATAACAATAGGGTAGCCCATTTAGTGGCTCGAAAGGCCCTCTCTCTGTATCCGACTACGAGTCGTTTCTTTGATTTTCAGGCCTGGCTTAATTCCAGGATGTAATGATCTCTTATCTCTCATCAATCAATATGATTATCTTTTGTCAAAAAAAAAAAAAGACCTCTCAAACCAAATTCATTTTTTTATTTATGTTTCCATCGTCTTCGACTATTGGGTTTAACTTCAAATCCTAGAATTAAATCTATTTGTTAATGGTGAATGAAATATTAATTTATAATACATTTTTACTTCGGTTCAAAACTTCAAATGAATAGATACTTAACATTTAACTATCAAAAAAATAGTTCACAAATTTATAGAATCATAACTCAACAACTCAATGATTTTGAACTATTGAAACAATCCTCCAATAATATATGTTAGAGTTTTGTGTACTTTTATCTGTTTTTTTTTTTTGTAATGGATGCAACGACACCCTAAACTTCATTCAAAACCAACCGGGGTACAGAGACCCCCCTGACAGTCGTACAAAAGCAGATGCGTGAGCATCCGATCGGAAATCGGAAACAAATGACAGCCATAGGAAAGATGGTGGCCCTTACTAGCAAGGTAATTAGCACAAACATTACCCTCACCATACACATGAGAAATCTGAACTTCCCAAGGACGGGATAGAAGCTCGCGGAAGCGAGAAATAATGACCGAAGAGTGGTGCTCGCCACTTTTCGTGCGCTGCAGCAGCTGTACCGCGCACTTCGAGTCGAGTTGGAGCAGAACTCGACGTTGGCCAGTATCCCACGCCACCGGAAGACCTTCAACAACACCCCTCAACTCAGCCTAGGTGATACAGCACGACCCCAGGTTTATAGTGAATGCTGTGAGACATCATCCCAAATGATCACGGATCAAGCCACCAGCTGCAGCATGGCCTGACTCAGGGAGAACGGAGCCGCCAGAGTTGAGGCAAACCCATTCGGGAGGAGGCGGCTTCCAATTGATCTGCTCTTCCGTTCTAGCCGGCGGACTAGGCTGATGAATGAACCTGTCCTTGTCCAAAGCATTCCTCACTAAAGGTAACCAAGTTTGAACACGCTGAATAAAGGTCTCAGATGCGACGACTTTGCCTGCGAAGACTCTGTCATTTCTGGTCCGCCAAAGGGACCAGCAAGTAATGCCGAAGTCAAGACTCCTTTGCTGGTGTCGAATGTTTCCAAGAATCCAATCCTGTAAATTAGCCTCAAAGAATCGTTGATATTCAGAAGTAGGGATTAGTTGCATCCATATTAACCGGGCAAAATGACTGTCCCGCAACACATGCAAAACTGTCTTAGTTCCATCACGACAGTGAGTGCAAGAAGGATCCTCTGTGTACTTTTATCCATTTCAAATTTCCTGCAACGAGAGTGAAAGTAGGAAGGACATTTTAGTCACTACAATTCTTTATTAATTCATATAAAAAAATTACCAATATCATAATTTGAACCATGGTCTCTTCAAACAAAGACAACAAGCATAACCAACCACACTAAACAAAGTTATTATACCTTTTTGAATACAAACCATAGACAAAGTTACACTCTGAAAACCAAAGGACTTTTCCATCATGATTAGCTAGCCACTAAGTCTCCTATAAGTATTTTTTAGTACTTGATACATCGATTTTCATAGTAGCGATTCATGTAACTTACTTCATTTTAAAATTTCTATTTTGTCCTTAATTTTCGGTAAGGCTAAATTGGTAATTGGCTAACATGGAAGAAATTGTTTCTCTTAATATGTGTTATGTCCTCGCAGTTTTTCAATCTAAATTGTTTTTGCGCTTTTTTATCTTTGATCTTATCCCTTCCTAAACTCCTTTGAAACTCCATCTATAGTGCAATAGTTTGCTCACTTTCACTTCCCAGTACAATGCAACCTATGAAAATCAATCCTCTGATATCTCTTAGAACTACGGTTTCATTGTTGGGGAAGCTGGGAAAGTAGAAGATTTCAACTCTGATATAAGTCCATAGCGAATAGAACGGAGTTCAATCAAGTAGTTATGGTCTGGCCCATCTCGCTCGATTCCTCTGCACTCGCATCGCCTAATGGTTCTATCTCTCCTATATCGATGAACTAATAGAAGAACTATTTTATTGCTTCTATTGCTGAAGATAATGTTTGATAAGTTATATCTTCCTCCTTTATTCCTCTTCCTATACCAGACTCTGAACTTGAATGAGTTTTTGGTATTCGCCAAATGTTAATCGCTTCACATATGTAAGTCATTCATTTCTTCTCTTTGTCTCATGGTTTTGCCTTTATGATTAATAACAAAAACAACTTTTATTTTCATGTTGTCTCAGGAGCAGAACATGCAGAAAATATACTTCTTTTGATTTTATTGCCTAATACGATGTTTAAGGAGGGACTTAATTATCATTATGAATGGAATTAAGGATACGTTTTTATATTTTAGATTCGTAAATGATGATGGTATTTCTTCAAATGTTCGACCTATATATTTAATCTTTATGTATCATCTCGATCGAAGAATTGTCAATAAAATCAAATGGATTGATATAGTTAAACATAACCTAAAAATATAAATACTCAAATACGAATATTCAGGCCAACGAGCTGGATTATAAGCTAGTTGAAAGAAAAGAAGGAGTTTATAGATGATGTGAATTTCTCCTTTTCTAACATTGACGGCATAACCCTATCTAATTATAATATCACAGCATTTAAATGTCTTTTAAACTTTCTACGTGTTCTAAATGTTTAGAGGAACCACTAGATAATGAGCATTTCTACTATGCTATATAGTATTGGTGCTTTAATGTACAACTTAAAGTTGTACCATAACATGAAATGTATAAGTTTAGATTGTACCATAAAAGAATTTGTACCATTATATTATAGTACAACTTTACAACTTGAAGTTGTACCATCACATAAAGGTACAAGTTCAAGTTGTACCATAAAAGAGTTTGTACAAACAGTATAGGTATAATCTAAAGTTGTACCATAACGATAAATATACAATTTTAAGTTGTACCATAAAGACAAAAACCTATAGCATCAATACTATATAGCATTATAAAATTCCTCCTAGATAATACGTTTTTGCATTGCCTAACTTCTACACTGAGTGTGTAAATGTAAGTTGAAGTGAAAAACAACTAGAACTGAACATTCGGTAGGTCAGCTATCAACTGATATAGAAAGTCAACTCAGAATACGCACGCCATGACTGCACTTCATCATTCTCACTAGTGCCCTCCCTCTTCAAACAAGAAAGAGCAAAATCGAAGAAAAACCCAACCAAAATTCAATTCACCATCCTCATCACTTCAGCACTCCCAGTCTCATTTCCTTTCGGCGACTATGAATCTTCTCCACCCTCTCCTCCTCCTCCCGCCGCTCGCCGTCGCGATTTCTTTCCTCCTGATCAAATTCGTCTACTCCGTCCTCTGGCTTCCCTTCGCGATCCAGCGCCACTTCAAAACCCAAGGAATTTCCGGCCCGGCGTACCGCCCCATCGCCGGTAACTCCGCCGAGATCCGCGCCCTCTTCGCGCGAGCAGCTCAATCCAAATCGCAGTCAACGCCGCCGGCAGCGGGATTCCACCACCGCGATGTCGTCGCCAGGGTTTCCCCGTTCTACCACGCGTGGTCCCGCGCGTACGGGAAGACTTTCCTGTACTGGTTTGGGCTCAAGCCCAGACTGGCCGTAACGAGCCCGGACGTGATCAAGGAGTTGTTGCTGAACACGAGCGGGTCGTTTGGGAAAGTCCGGTTCAACCCGCTGTCCAAGTTGCTGTTCGGGGCTGGGCTCGTTGGGCTCGAGGGAGATAAATGGGCCCTTCATCGACGGATCACTAGCCAGGCCTTCAACATGGAGAGAGTTAAGGTACCAAAAGGTTAATTTATTAGGCTCGTCGTACGGCCGTCGTTTAGTTCTTTAAAATCTTTTCCGGTGACAGGAATGGGTGCCGGAGATTGTATCCAGCGCCGGGAAAATGCTGGAGAAATGGGAGGAGATCAGAGGAGGAAGGGAAGAATTCGAGATCGACGTTCACAAAGATACCCACCTCGTCTCCGCCGATATCATTTCAAGAACTGCGTTCGGGAGCAGCTTCGAAGAAGGGAAACGGATCTTCGCAGTACAGGATCAGCAGCAGAATCTGATTTCTCTTGCCCTAAGAAGTGTCTACATTCCAGGGTTCAGGTTCCTGCCGACGAGGAAGAACAGGGATAGATGGAGACTGGAGAAGGAAACTCGGGACTCGATTAGGGTTTTGATTCAGGGGAACAGCAGGGGATTGGGGAATTCCAGAAATCTGCTTGCTTTGCTGACGTCTTCGTACAGGAATCAGGATGGAGTGGAGGAGAAATTGGGTGTGGAGGAAGTGATAGACGAATGCAAGACGTTTTATTTTGCTGGGAAAGAGACTACTGCCAATCTATTGACTTTTGCTCTGCTTCTGTTGGCGAATCATCGGGAGTGGCAGGAGAAGGCTCGAGAGGAAGTGGTTCGTGTCTGTGGAGGAAGAGACGAAGCTCTCCTTGCAGAGAATCTGAGCGACCTCAAGATTGTAAGTTCTCAATACCTTGAATCTCAAGTTAAGTCTAGACTACGAAAGTTTTAAACTTGGCAGGTTAACAGCTTGCTAAATTTAGGTAGCTGGGAAACGTTCAACCAATGTTGAACAATGAACATAATATTTGAAGAGTTCATTCATTCAACTAGTAGATATGTGTCTAACTCGAAAATCGAAATGATGACTGAGTAATGATCCATTGTGATACATTTGGAACATTATGATCAATTTCACTTTGTGCAGTTGAGTTTGATAATCAACGAAACTCTGCGAATGTACCCTCCGGCCGTGTTACTAATGAGGGAGGCCACCAAGAAAGTCAAGCTGGGCAGCCTGCAAGTTCCTTCAGGAACACAACTCTATATCCCTGTGATAGCCGTTCACTACGACCCTGAAATATGGGGGGAAGATGCCGACGAGTTCAATCCTTCACGGTTCAACGAGCCTCGAAAGCATATGGCTTCGTTCTTGCCCTTTGGAATGGGTCCCAGGATCTGCGTGGGTCAGAATTTAGCCATCGTTGAAGCCAAGATAGTGCTGGCTACCATCATCAGGAACTACTCTTTTGTACTGTCCCCTACTTATGTTCATGCCCCCATGCTTTTGATCAGCTTGCAGCCTCAGTACGGCGCTCAGATTGTGTTTAGAAAGGTTTCTGGAAATGGAAGCTCATAGGCTAATGAGTGTTGCACAGACTCGGTTCAGGAAAATGTTTAGAGATGGTTGCCTGACCATGATAATGCTTATGTGCGACTGTCGTAATCTGTTTATTATTTACATGTATTCTATTTTACAAATTTGAACGGTTGATTCTATAATGATTTAAGTATGGACCATGATCAAGTAATTGCTTTAATTTCAAAAGATAATCTGTGTCAATATTTATGAAAATTGCTAGGAAAAAGAACTAGTATTCGGATGAACCATTGCATTGATGAGATATTTGAGCCAAATTTCTTATTTAAAAATTCACATGTTTTTTTAATGGAAAATCTGAATGTTTTAAATGTAGGGTTTGGGCAAGTAACATATTTGGCAATGGATGTGAGTTTTCAATGAGAAAAGTCAAATGATTTTTTGACACTTCTTCCTTTCTACTTGGCCTTTACACAGAAATCTACCAACACCTGTCGTTAGAATTGACGATCTATTCGATCCCTCACACTAACATTTGAAATAAATGTACAAAGATAGAATGAGAACGGGAAGATGATGAGCCATAAATTGCATTAACCTCAAAATCAAGAAAAACCACACCAAATCAATGAGCATTGCCGTATGTAATAACAACGTAAAGATGAACTGCCAACGAATGTTGAAAACTCAACTCAACTTGCGAGACTGAATGGTTATGGTAGAAACTCTCATGAAAAATTATCGACCAAGCCGCACTAAAAGTAATATAAAAAATTGATATATAAGATTTCAGTTTTACCCCCTTTGTTTTTTACTTAAAATTGAAAACTTAAATAACAAAAAGTCAACTAGATGATTGCGTACATCTGAAGTGGAGAGATCCCCTGCCACAAGGAAATTACGCATGCCATGACTTCACTATCTCAATCCTTCTCAATGCTCAATAGTCAATATAGTACTCTTCTTCTCCAAACCATAAAGACCAAAAGACAAAGGTGAGGAAAGTCAATCAACTTCACATCAGTCCTCCGTGGCCGGTGCAACATTCCGTCATTCCCCATATTCTCCCTTCCGTTCAGAAAATATGAATCTTCTTCACCCTCTCCTCCTCCCGCCGCTCGCCGTCGCCGCTTGCTTCCTCCTGATCAAATTCGTCTACTCCGCCATCTGGCTTCCCTTCGCGATCCAGCGCCACTTCAAAAAACAAGGAATTTCCGGCCCGGCGTACCGCCCCATCACCGGCAACTCCGCCGAGATCCGCGCCCTCTTCGCTCGAGCAGCTCAATCCAAGCCCCGGTCAACGCCGGCTGCGGCACCGGGATTCCACCACCGCGATGTCGTCGCCAGGGTGTCCCCATTTTACCACGAGTGGTCGCGCGCGTACGGGAAGACTTTCCTGTACTGGTTTGGGCTCAAGCCCAGATTGGCAATAACGGGCCCGGACATGGTCAAGAAGGTGTTGTTGAACACGTGCGGGTCGTTTGGGAAAGTCCCGTTCGACCCGATGTCCAAGTTGCTCTTCGGGGAAGGGCTCGTTGGGCTCGAGGGCGAAAAATGGGCCCTTCATAGACGGATCACAAACCAGGCCTTCAACATGGAGAGAGTTAAGGTAACAAAAAAAAAAAAAAACAAGATTTACTTTACTCTTTGGCTTAGCTTGCCGGAGTTTGTTCTTTATTCGTCGTTTCCGGTGACAGGAATGGGTGCCGGAGATCGTGTCCAGCGCCGGGAAAGTGCTGGAGAAATGGGAGGAGATGAGAGGAGAAAGGGAAGAGTTCGAGATCGACGTCCACAAAGAAGCCCACAATCTGTCGGCCGATATCATCTCCAGAACTGCCTTCGGTAGCAGCTTCGAAGAAGGGAAACGAATCTTCGCTCTCCAGGACCAGCAGCTGCATCTCGTTTCTCTTGCCCTAAGAAGCGTCTACATTCCAGGGTTCAGGTTCTTGCCCACGAGGAGGAACAGGGAGAGGTGGAGATTGGAGAAGGAGACTCGGGACTCGATTAGGGTTTTGATTCAGGGGAACAGCGGGGGGTTGGGGAATTCCAGAAATCTCCTGGCTTTGCTGACGTCTTCGTACAGGAATCAGGATGGCGGGAAGGAAGAGGAGAAGATTGGGGTGGACGATGTGATCGACGAATGCAAGACGTTTTACTTTGCTGGGAAAGAGACTACTGCTCATCTCTTGACTTTTGCTCTGCTTCTGTTGGCTAATCATCCAGAATGGCAGGATAAGCTTCGGGAGGAATTGTTTCGTGTGTGTGGAAGAAGGGACCAACCTCTTGTTGCAGAGAATCTGAGGGACCTTAAGATTGTAAGTTCACAATACCTTGAATCTCAAGTTAAGTCTAGACTGTGAAAGTTATGAACTTGCCAGCAAGCAGCTCACTGGTCACTTGACAGTTTGAGTTACTGCAGTCTGAGAGTGGGGTAAGGTTCAACCAATGTTGGACTCAGACTTCAATCTTAGTGACTTAACCATAAGGTTTTTAGCAGGCGACAGGATGCCTAAGTACTGATCCATTGTGAGAAGTTTGGTACGTAATATTACCCTTAGAAGAAGTGCTAACAGTATGCTTTTTCTGCAGTTGAGTTTGATAATCAACGAAACTCTAAGAATGTACTCTCCATCTGTGTTGATAATGAGGGAGGCCACCAAGAACGTCAAGCTGGGCAGCCTGGAAGTTCCTAAAGGAACACAACTCTATATCCCTGTGGTAGCCGTTCACTACGACCCCGAAATATGGGGGGAGGATGCTCACGAGTTCAATCCTTCGCGGTTCAACGAGCCTCGGAAGCACATGGCTTCGTTCTTCCCCTTTGGAATCGGTCCCAGGATCTGCGTGGGTCAGAATTTAGCCATCGTTGAAGCCAAGATCGTTTTGGCTACCATCGTCAGGAACTACTCTTTCGTATTGTCCCCAACTTACGTTCATGCCCCCATGCTCTTGCTCAGCTTGCAGCCTCAGTACGGTGCTCAGATTATGCTCAGAAAGATTTCTGGAAATGAAAACTCGTGTTAACAGATGGTTGCTTGATCATCACAGTAATGTATGATTGTAATCTTTGTAAGATTCATTCGCATTTTGGACAACGAAAAACATCTGTCGTAATCATAACATTGCTTCGAAAGTTCGTCGAAATTCGAGTAAAGATGGAACATGGTTCATTACCCAGCACAAAAACACCTTCATTCATTCTGCAGCAACTCTTCTCCACCCAGTCAAATTCACAAACCCAGAAGAACACAAGAAGAAGAAGGAAAAAATCAACCAGAGAATTGCTTCCCTTCAAAAGTTTGACCAAAGAGCCAGCTGGGCGGTGCCACATTGTATGAGGTAAGCGTTTTGCCATCACTGGTAGTGACCTCAAACGAGAGCGGCTGACCAATCAGGTCAACGTAGCACTGCCAATTCTGGCCCCAATTCCTCGCCATCGGAATCCACCCGGTCCTCGACCCTTTCACCTTCACCCCGACCACCTCGCCGTCGCCGCCGACGTTGGTAACCAAGACCTGGTAAAACTGCCGGCTCCCGCTCGCCGTGAACCTCAACCCGCCGCCTCTGCTCCCGCACTTCACCCGCCGGTACTGGATGGGGACGATGTCGGCGGCCTTGTCGACCTCGGCGATCTCGGCGAAGGCGGCCTCGGAGAGCTCGAAGTGCTGCTTGGGGAAGTTACACCAGCCGCCGTAGTCGGAAGGGAGGGCGTAGTTCGGCGGGCAGAAGTCGGTGGCGGTTAGGGTTACGGCGGGGCTCCCCTGGCGGCACCAGAGGATGTGGTCGACGCACCGGATTTGGAAGCACGCGCCGCAGGTGCGGCCGCGATTGAACAGCATTGCGCTCAGGCCGGCGCTGTACATCCCGTAGGTCACCCAGTGGAAGACGTCGCCGTAACCGCAAGCTCCCCCTGCGGTTTTCAATCAACGGCGAGAATATGTTAGCCTAATTCATCGATTCGTCTCCCAGAAAGGAAAAAAAGGTTGAGGGAGTTGGAGCTGACCCAGAGAGATGGACCCGCCGTCGGATTGTTTGACGTAGGTGGCGGTGGCGGACTTCCATTGGGGTTCTAGGCCGTCGAAACCGGCGCCGGGGGAGTTCCCTGCGTGGGAATCGTCGTAGGTAAAAGCGCAGCAAGTGGTGAAGCAGAGGAAGCAGAGGATTGCTTGAACAGAGTACTCCATATGAGACTATGAGCGCTTCTTTTTGGGTTGTGTCGTGGGCTAATGTTCTAACTAGGGAATGGCACAATGGAAGCTGAACATTGGGAGGGAGAGAAGAAGAAAGGGTTTGGATGTGAACCCAAGACAGGAAAAAGGCGCCGCAGAGGAGTTTGCAGAAAGCCTGGCATTCAGGAAGCAGGGGATTGCTAAAGAAGGGCCATTTTTCTTTCTTTTGTCTCGTAAAAGTAGTCAAGAAAGAAAGAGGAAAAGGGAACAAATCATGGATTCAAGAATTTTCTTATTAGTCTCTCTCTCCCAATTTACTTTCCCATATCCCAATCTTCATTTCCCATGTCCCACGCTGACAATGGCGCAAGGTAGCAGCACCTGGCCCGAGAGAAGAAAAGATGGAGCCACACACAAAGCTGCTCATCATATCGTACAGGCAAATGAAAGCCTAATGTATAGGATTTTTTTTTGGTTCTGCTTCCTTCTACCGCTTCCTTATCACCTTCTACAGCACAATCTCCGCGTAAAAGCAACGATTTTTGGCAGAATGCTCAACCGGATTTCCTCTGGTAATTCACTGATCCGATCCACACAGCTTTCTTCTTCTTCTTCAACTGTCTTCCTCTTATTCGCCTTCTGATGTGTAAAGCTAGGAGAGCGTCATGCCATGGCGTCCTCCATGTTTTTTCCCCTATGCTTGTTTTGTTTCTTAACCGAACTTTGACCATCAAAAAGTGCCGGAAACAGAGCATCTGACACTCATCTGTCCTTTGCCAACTTGGAGGAAGTTCATTCGTTTTACTCTTTACTAGTAATTAGCCCGCGCTCTGCCGCGGGGTCTGCTTGATTTTCGTAACCTTTCTATGCTACAAAGCCGGATTGGCATCGGAGGAATCACAATTTAAACAATTATATTGCTATTTGCTAACTACTAACTAACATCCACATAAACGACCATGCGAACATATGTATGTACATTGGGAGTACATGTTGATCAAACAATGGTTACAGAATTATGACCTCAGCATCCACGAATTGATTACACAGCGTGGGCCATTATGAACCTGGGAAAATAACCAAGGGGATCACAAAATAAGTCTGCTAAAAAGTATAGGAGCATACAATTGGCAAGAACATATGTATGATATTATTTAGGATATCGGAAAGTTAGGTAGATGAGAATGCTATCCAGGATAGATTCACATAGCGATATATAAGTCTGTCTTCAAAATGGTGTTGACATGGACGATGATTACTTGTCAAAGGCTGAGCTGTTCCCATCTACGACCCACAGCAGTCGATCTTACAAATTAGAAAAGAACAGCCAGCACGAACACTTCAACGAATGAAACAAAATAGGTCAAGAGTGCACCATGATAGGGGACGACATGTACATCACAAAAGACGACCTAAGGTGCTGTCAAGTATGTCAAGGCCTAAGTAGGAACAGCAAAGAGCAGTTAATCAGCAGTAGCTTGGCTGATTCAAAATGGAACTGGTCGAAGTTGTTGTTCAATCGTCTAAAGCACAGCTATCCCAAAGTGTCGCAACTCTGATATGTGGCATTGTGTTCTGACCTGGGCTCGGCCATGCAATGTACAGCTCTGCTGCAAAGGGCTTCTTGCAGTTCTTCTTTATGATTCCTTTGACTTCATCTTTGCTCAGCTTGAGAAACTTTGGCGGTAGCATGCAGATTAAGGAAAGAGCTGCCTCGTGATTGAGGAAAACATGAGCCTCAGTAGATTCTGATTTGCACCTTGCTTCGATTTGGTAGTGCAGCCTGGTTATATTTGAAACCTGTTAGCTTTGTTGGTAATCATGCAAGCGTTTCTTGTAAAAAGTGCAGCCGGGTCAATTTAACTATTCAAACTCACCTTGGTGTTTCCTGGGTGGTTCTGCAAATGTCATTTGTGTATTTGACATGAGTGAACTTGATTATGGTTCGGTAGAGGGTCCGAAACAGGAAAATTGTTGTTGTTAGGTTAGAGTGCAAAGTAATAGCAAATGATACATATTTTAATATTGGGAATTTTCAAAGCATTGTTATACACCTCACGCTGTTGTGGTTCTGAGCTCAAGTCTTCCTTTATCTGAGCAAGTGTTCTTACTGGGGGCCGAGGGTAGCGTAAGTATCCCATCCTTTCAGTTGTTCCAAAGGCTACGTACTTTATCGGTTTGCGACATGGCAGAAACCTAAGTTTCGCGAATATATGTTTATGTTAGGATAAGGTGTTGCAATGAAAGCACACGTGAAGTTTACAAATTGTCTAAGAGAATGTTAGAAAATAACAAATACCTATTCATGACTTTCTCAATGGTTTCATTGTATGCACTGATAACCAGGCGGCTGGCACTTGTCGCTTCCAACTCATATATTCCATCATCGTTACACTCATGGGGCACGACGACGACCGATGTAACTGTGGTTATAAGCGGGAGGTGTGACTCTACATCTGCTGCTTGTTGGAGGTAAGCGATGACATCGTAGCCACAGTACTGCACAACAGCTTTGTTCCCACTGTTTTGCAAACACAAACAAATGATATACTATTTGTATGCCGAAAGTTGTAATGATCTTAGGTACATGCTCTAGTATACCTGTAGTCTTCAATAACCAGATGGAAATCAACCATACCATTCTGACATACCCTTGGTACTGTAATTCGGCGTACGCATCCTGTTACATCTGTAATTGCATATATGTTATGGGATATTTAGGGTGCATTGGTCGTGAAAGTAAAGTGCAACGTCTTACCTGCGTGGCAGTGGAAATTTGTCGACTTTGCAGGGACCACTGAGAAATGGAAGTTCAGGAATGAGTCGAGGGGAAACTTAGGACTGTTCTGGTCTTCTTCGATGTTTTCAATCAGCTGGTCAGAGCTCATGAGCAGCCGCAATTCTCCTGGGACAAGCCGTTTGTTCTTACTCGAGGGGATTGTAACGATAGTGCTTAGGCGATGCAAACGACCAACGTTGATCCTCGCCATCACGTTATCAATGTCTCTTTCATATGCCAGAGCTTCAATAACTCGTTCCTGCGGGATTAGTGGGTGTCAAAGAATGTTATAGATAACCATCATTTGTTTTCTTTTTCTGTGAAATCGGGAACAAACCTTCTTGTCCGTCCAGAGCATTCGCAGAGCTGGCGTTTTCCAAAACTTTCCGTCAATGACTTATGTCCACGCTTTTAGAAGCCGTGCTATAACAGAACGGTAGTTGGTTCCCAACCGCAAACCGCGAAACGTCATCGAAGCGCAAATGGGGTCTATAGTTGAGACAAAAACAAACTAAGTGGAGTTACCATTTCTGGCAAAGTTTTGCGAAGTAATCGAAAGGCAGTAGCAATTCAGACCCATAGGAATACAAACATTGAACCTTGGGGATCGGTGGGGACCTCGTAATCCCGCGAGGCGAATGGGTTATCTCGGCGGAAAACTGCCATAGTTCGTGGGCCCGCTGAGATCGAAGGAATCTTTATTAGAGAAATGCGATTTTTCTATTGAGTGGTGAGTTTAAGACCAGACAGCGACTTACCTTGGTGCTAGGGTTTTCACAGTGGTAGAAAGCCGCCGCTTTTACCGCCGACGCCTGTGAAGGTCTGGAACAATGGCTGTGCTGTCGAAGGAGGGCAAGCGGGGCATAGGTAAAGTGAATGCGGGCCTAAAGAATACAGGCCGGAATGTTGTTTTGGGCCTTATAATAAACATGCCTATCCTTTTTCGGGCTTAAACATGTTGTTTTCGGGCCTAAACTTCAAGAACTTATGAAGAACCCAACTCCAGGAATCCAACATGAATACGTTGAACAAATCCAGCTACTGCAATGACAAACGCATAATACATACCTATCATTTTTTTTCGATGCAACCTGACCATTTCACAATAGAAGATAACAGAAAGAGTTGTTGTTATCACAAAAGGCAAACACAAAGACCTGCACTTTTCATGTATAAGCAGCCCTGTTTAAAGAACATAAAGAACACATGCATATAAAAAGGTCACAAGTCACAACTCAAGAAGCAAGGCTTTTGTAATTACTAAACCTTTAATCGTGGTAAGAAAACCCTTAAATATACAGGAACACACTCCCTCTGAATGTCTGAACCATCAAAATAACTGGCCAGGGATTCTTGGCGAACTGACCATTTTCTTTTTTGGAACAAAAGTTTGTCAGGTGAACCGCTCATTTCCCTAGCATAATGGAGGAGAAAGCAAAAACAGCATCACACACAACACACTATGTAAAGAGAAGTTTCAATCAGTCATGATATCAGCAAAAGCTTCCTTGAATACTATGTTTCTTGTGTGATCATGTGGGATGTCCTCTGGGTTGTCTATCAGGATGCGCAATCCCCTGGCCGATTTCACTCTTGAGACTGCCACGTAGAGCTGCCCGTGGCTGAAGACAGGTTCAGGTAGGTAAATTCCCACCTTGTCAAGTGTCTGACCTTGACTTTTGTTAATCGTCATTCCATAGCACAAATGAACTGGAAACTGACGTGTTTTCAATATGAATGGCCACTTGGGGTTCTCTATGTTGAGCACAATCCTTGGAATGATAACCTCATCCGTGTCGTGAGTCCCACCCATGATATTTCCTTTTATGATATCATTTCCCAACATTGTGATCATAATCCTCGTCCCGTTGCACAGGCCAAGGTCAGGATTCAGGTTCCGAAGCAACATCACTGGAGTGTTGTTTTTGAGCACCAGCTCGTGGTCAGGCACTCCATTGAATTTCAGAGTGTTCAGGAATTCAACAGGATAGCACTGATCAAAAGCATCAGCAGTTTCTGTTGACTGCAACAATGAGTCCGAGCTATAATATGCTTCCGAATCTCCTGGGACTAATTGTAACATGTATTCATTGATTTCGGATACCTTTGCATTTGTTGGAGTGACGATTGCTCTGTTTGAAAGATAAGCCGGCTGATCATAGTTTGCAACAAATGAATCATAAACATCGTCCACAATGGCTTCAGTAGGGTTACCTTCATGTGGTATCAGAAACATTGGTGGAATTTGCACCCAATCTGTCGGGGTATCTTTTTTGAATGATTTTGCTTTGAGTCTCCCATCCCCCAAAGCCAGCACCCAGGCGGGGAATGTGTATCCATTAAGGGAGTCCTCTTCTCCAGGCAAAGATACGTTTATTCTCATATTTCGATGTAGCCTCAAGAGTGTGAAAGACTTCCACAGATGTGATCGAGTTAATGATCCATCCAC